CCTTGCAAGGTTTTATTTTTCAGATAATGATCCAATGATAATGATTTGTTCTATATTGTGCGGATGTGACATTCTGGGAAAATTTACACTTTGTCAGATAGATACCAATATTCTAGCTGTAGTGCAACATCTTAGCTAGTGGCATGGCTAGTTACACAAGAATTGAGCAATATAGCCATGACAAGACCAGGGCCCATAGCTTTTTCTGATCCACTTCACTTAGCTATTTCTTCATCGTTATCTTTTGCAGTCATGTATTGGGCTCCATCTTCATTGAGGATGGGCATGTTCTGGAAGCTTCCTCCTCTATTAGCTGTTTAAAGAATTATTCACAAGTTGCTGTCGTAAAACTACAAAGGTTTTATCTGACGCATTGATGATGAGATCCCTTTGCTGTGTTTATTGTATATTGTTTCCGCTATTAATGGCCTGTATAACCCTGGATTAAACACAGTTGGTGCTGCTTGTGGCATGCTCTCCTGCTTTCCTCATTGAAATAATTGGTCCACAGGCTCATTAGTAATAGCAGAGGGATATGTCTTGCCACGAGATTTCAGGTTGTCAAAAAGTACAATTCAGCCTGCAGATAGTCCATGCTGCCTCACAGCTGCCCAGCTTTGTATTGAATTTAGCCCAATGGCAGTGGCACATGAAACGTGAAGGGACTTAATCTCTATAAGATAGTGCAACTATCACTTCTATCAGCACTTTTAAGAAGAGATGCATTTACACAAAGAAGTTGGTGATAATGAGGTAATGTAATTTTCTTCCCTTTGTATTGATTCTCTCATGAATTACTCCAAAGCCAATCCGGCAGATATGTCCTTTGAGGATAGGTCAGTTCAGACAGCGGCAGTGTTATAAGCCACTTTTGATGATGGACATGGAAGTCACATAAATATGCAAGTCTGCTTTGGTCATGGTTCAACATCATTTTCCCACGCTATACTCCCATCCCTTGATGTCACAAATAATTTGAAATCTATTGATCTCTGTCTTGAACATACTCAATGATTGAGGCTCCACAACCATCTAGTATAGGGAATTCCCAAGATTCACAACCCTTTGAGTGAAGAAATTCCCCCTCATTTCAGTCTTAAAGTGTCTACCCCTTATTCATAGATGGAATGCCTGGTACTAAAACTCTCAACCAAGGGAAACACCCTTTCTGCCTCCGCTTTGTCAAGGCCTTTCAGGATTTAAAAAGTTTCCACAGATCACCTCTCATTCTGTGAAGCGTAAGAGTACTCAGGCCATCCTCGGAATTAGTATGATGAACCTCTGCTGTACTCCCTCCATGGAAATTACATTCTTCCTTAGGTAAGAGGACTAAAATTATATGCCATACTCCAGGCGCTGCCTCACCAAGACTCTTTTTACTCACTCATCTCAATCCACATGGACAAGGAGAACCACGACTTTGACTGGGACAACACCAAGATCCTGGGACAGGCTAGGCAGAGACAAGCGTGAGAATTCCTGGAACCATGGCACTCCACGAAGCATGCTATTAATAAACACATTGAACTCGACCCCATATACATTCCACTACCAAGGAAAACCAGAAGTGAGGCAAACCATCTCAACGGACCCCAGAGTTTAAAAACCAGGCGGGAAACACACTGACGCTTCATCGGAGGCTGCACTGAGGATGTTACCAAGCACGGTAACGAAACGTCTGCAAAACAACAAACCAGCTTGGCGAGCCAACCAACCTCAACACCCACAACCCGAGCTACAGATCTACTCCAAAACCTTAGAGACTCTTTTTACAATTGCAGCAAGACTTCTTTGTGCCTGTATTCAAATCCTCTTTACAGTAAAGGCTAACACACCATTTGCCTTCCTAATTGTTTACTGCTCTTGCATTTTTGCATTGTTATTTATTAGCAAAGACATCTGGGTCCCTTTGGACATCAAAGCTTTCCAAACCCGAACAATTTAAGAAATAGTGTGCGCCTCCATTCTTCCTACCAAAGTGGATAACTTGAGAGTTAGCCACATTATATTCCATTTGCCATGTTCATGCCCACTCACTCAGACCACCTAAATTCCCTTTAAGCCTCTTTGCATCATCCTCACGACATGCACTCCCACTTAGTTCTGTGCCATCCGCAAACTTGGAAATAGTTCCACTTCAAAGTCATTGATATAGATTGCGAACAGCTCGTGCAAAAGAACCGGTCCTTGCAGTCTGCCACTGGTCACATTATCACTCATGCTCCAATTTTGTTTACTAAGTTCTTGTACGTGACCTCATCAGAAGCCTTCTGAGAACTAAAAACACTGCATCCAATGTTTACCCTGATCGATGCTGCTAGCAACATCCTCAGGAAACTCTCATTAGGTTTGTCAACATGCCAAGGATGTGCAGGTTAGGTGGGTTAGCCATGGAAAACGCAGGGTTACAAGGATAGGGTAGAGGGCCAAGTCTGGGTGGGATGCTTTTTGGAGAGTTGGTGTGGACTTGTTGGGCCGAATGGCATGTTTCCACACTGTACGGATTACAAAAAAATAAAACTGCCTGTCAGATCATCATTTGAGAAGCATCGGTTACATCCTTTATAACAGAGTCTTGTATCTTCCATCCTACTGACATCAACTAACAGGTTTGTAGTTGCCAGTTTTGTCTCTGCCACCTTTCTGAAATAATGAATTTACATTAGCAACCTCCCAACAAGAAGCAACGCATCTACTATGCAAGGAATGGAGGGGTATAGACGAAGGGCAGACGGAAGGGATTAGTTTAATTTGGTGTTATGTTCAGAACATTGTGGGCCGAATGGCCCATTCCTGTGCTGTATAGTTCTACGTTCTATCACCATTGACACCTTTGACAGTCTGGGATGCAAATTATAAGGTCCAAAGAATTTAAAAACTTCCAGTCGCTTTTAATATCTCCAATACTACTTTCATATTAATTCCTTTCAGTTCCTCATTCACACTTGTCCCTTGGATCTTCATTATTCCTGGGAAATTTCTTGTACCTCCCACTGAAGACAGACACAGACCAACCATCAGTAACATTGGACATGATGTTTTTGCTTCTCAAAAGGCTTATGCTAAGGTCACACTATAAGAGGTTAGCAAACAAAACTGGAGCATTATCAATAAGGGTTAATATTCTGGCATGAATTGAAGATTGTTTCATGGAAAGAAAACAGTAGGAAAAAACAAGTCTTTCTCAGATTAGCAGGCTGTGACTAATGAGGTATTGCAAGGATCAGTGCTTCTTTCACATTATAGTCTCTATCTACAACAGACCAACATTTGTCTTTGCTAATATGTTCCTTTTATATACCTATAGACACTTTTATATCCATTGTTGTGCATTTTTGCTAGTTTACATTCATATTTCTTCCTTTCTTCATCAGTTCTTGGTCATCATTTGCCGAGTTCTAAAACGTTCCCAGTGAATGCTGTTGCAGTTGTATTCAGGTGTAAAGAAAATAAATATTCTTCTTTATAAAAAGAACATATGAGAGAAAACCTATGCTGGGCCCGTTCTCAAGATGTGGTTTAAAACATTTTTTTTAAAAAAAAAGCATGTCTGTTGCAGTCAATTAAGAAGTTTTTAAAAAATGAAAATCATCCTACTATCTCAACACTGTCCAAACAAAAGTAAAGATTAGAAACTGTAGACTAGCTGTATTTGGTGTCTGCATGCCAAATCAACTTAAACCGAGGTATAACACTAATCAAAAATATGCATGCCATCTTAAAGATACTGAATACAAAAGGGAGGAAATTATGTTTATGTTGTGAAGAGTTAATGGTCACACCCAAACTGGAAAACTGTTCAATTTTGTGCATTGCACCATTGGGAGGGCATAGTGGTGTTGAAGGGCGCTCAGTGCAAATTCAGCAAAATGATACTGACCTCAAAAGGGCAGGTTGCACAAACTTGACTTGTATCCTTTCAATTAGAAGATTAGGGTGATCTGATTGAGGTGTTTAAGATAATAAAATGATTCAACAGTGTAGATACAGACAAGTTATTTGGTGACGAAGCCTGATCAAAGTGTGACAGTTTTAAATCTGTTTTCTGGAGTTAACTTGGGAAGCACATTTTCAGACAATGGTACTGAATTTACAGAAGTCTATCTTCCCAAGAGCTGTGCTTGCTCAAGGGAGGTTTGAATTCAACTTTTCAAGGAAGATCAATAGAATTTTGTCAGAATAGCAAGGGTATAAGGAAGAGGGCACTTAAATTGAGATACAGATCAACCATACATCAGTGTCAAATGAACAGCAGAAAAGGGAGGCGCTAAATGGTTTACTCTTGTTACCATATCCTCAACCCTGATAAACATGATCAAAATACCAACCAATTCTCAGGCAATACTGTACCAAAGTCAAATAGTGCTTGTGCAAACCTATTCCTGCAGGTGTAGCTGGGGAAAAGCGTTTAGTCATGAGGTTTGATGCATCATGAAAGTGGGCAAGATATGCTTGATGGTCTTTTCCTGCATATCATTTTCATGTTTGCCTGCCATCTTATAAATAGAATTTGTATGAATACTTTAGTTCTGTCATGGTTGCACCAATGATACTCTCCATCAAAGGAATATCTTGATTATCACCTTATATCATAGAATCATCAAATCCTACAGTGTGGAGACAGGTCCTTCGGCCCAACAAGTCCACACCACCCCTCACAGCATCTCACCCAGACCCATCCCCCATAACCCACCTAATCTACACATCCCTGAACACTTACGGACAATTTAGCATGGCCAACCCACCTAACCTGCATATTTTTGGACTGTGGGAGGAAACCGGAGCACCCGGAGGAAACCCACGCAGTCACGGGGAGAACGTGCGAACTCCACACAGACAGTCGCCCGAGGATGGAATCGAACCCGGGTCCCTGGCACTGTGAGGCAGCAGTGCTAATCACTTAGTGAAGGGAAATCCTGATATTTATGGGCGGCACATAATAATCTAAGATTTCAGTAATGTTTTCTTGAATTTTTTCTTTTCTGATAATGAGTTTTTAAGGCTGCATTTCTTAATCTCCATATTGTCCCGCAAATTAATTAATACTTCTCTATAAATAGATTCCACAGAAGTTTACAATCCTGGATGTTTTACAACTTAAGCACACTGCTAAGTGAAAGTAATTTCCCCCATTTATGATGGGCACATTAAGTCTGGCCCTGAAGATTGCTCAGCCAGTCAAAGCTCCTGTGCCTACTCAAAGCCCTATGCCACAAATAATCAGTGTGGATTTTACTGGGAATTGATTGATTTATTGTTGGAGTATGTACCGAGATACAGTGAAACATGTTGTTTTGTGTGCTATACAGGCAGACTGTACCATACAAAGTGCATCAGAGTAGCAGAACAGAGTGCAAAATACAGTGTTGCAGCCGCAGAGAAGGTGGGGAGAGAGAGATCAGACTTCACATTTAACAGGCCCATTCAAAAGTCTGATAACAGCGAGGAAGAAGCTGTTCTTGAATCTGTTCATACGTGTATTCAAACTTTTATATCTGCTGCCTGACATAAGAAGGTGAAAGAGAGTATAAACGGGGTGGGAGGGGTCTTTGATTACGTTACTTGTTTTCCCAGGGCAGCAGGAATAGATGGAGTCAATGGATGGAAGCTTGGCTCATGTGATAGACTGGGCTCACAACTCTCTGCAGTTCCTACATCTGGACATAGGATGCTTTCTATGGTGCGTCTAAAAATTGGTGAGTCCTTGTTGACATGCTGAGTTTCTCTAGCCTCCTAAGGAAGTAGAGAAATTGTTGAGCTTTCTTGACCATCGCGTCGACATGGGTGGACAGGTTGTTGGTGATCATCACTTGTTGGAACTTGATGTTCTCTACCATTTCCACCTCAGTACCATTGATGCAGATAGGGGTGTGCCTTCCACCCCACTTCAAGTCAACGGTTTGCTGACGTTGACGGAGAGATTGTTGTCTTTACACCATGCCCCTAGGCACTCAATCTCTTTCCCATAGTCTGTCTCCGTGTTGTTTGAGATCTGACCTAAAACGGTGGTGCTGTCAACAAACTTGTAAATGAAGTGGGGAGGAATTTAGCAACGTAGTTAAATGTATAATGAGTATAGTAAGGGACTGAGTACACAGCCTTGTACACGCCCGTGTTGAGGATTTTGGTGGAGCAAGTGTTGTTGCCTATGGGTCAGGAGGTTGAGGATCCAGTTACAGAAAGAGGAGATGAGACCGTTTGGAATTATGGTGTTGAAGGCAGAGCTGCAGTCACTAAGCAAGAGCCTGAAACAGATATCCTTGTTATCCAGATGAGCATAGGGCCAGGGAGATGGAATCTGGTGTGGACCTGCTGCGCCAGTAGGCAAACTGCAAAGGATCAAGGCAATTTGGTAGGCTAGAGTTGATGTAAGCCATGACCAACCTCCTGAAGCACTTCATAATTATGGAGGTCACAGCCACCAGACAATAGTCATTGAGGCATACAGGATGACTTTTCTTGGGCAGTGGGATGATGGTGATCTTCTTGAAGCAGGTGGGGACTTCAGATCATAGTAAGGAGAGGACAAAGGTGTCTGCGTATACTACCACCAGCTGGTCCACACAGGATCGGAGTGCACGGCCGGGGATGCCATCTGGGCCAGTCGCCTTCTAGGGGCTCACTCTCAAGAAGGACGATGTAATGCCTGTGGCAGTGACCACAGGTACAGGTGCATCTGAGGCTGTTGGGACAGGTGACATCATTTCACCAACCTTCTGTTCAAAGCAAGAGAATGCATTGAGCTCACTGGATAGGGATGTACTGTTGCTTGCGATTCTGTTCAACTTCACTTTATAGCCTGTTATGTCATGTAAGCTTTGCCACAAATGATGGGTGTCTGTGTGGTTGGTCTGGGTCTCAAGTTTAGTTTTGTACTGCCTCTTGGCATCTCGGATGTCCTTATAAAGGTTATACCTGGATCTCCTGTATAGGTCAGGGTTGCCTGACTTGTACACCTCAGACCTGGACTTCAGTAGGTAGCGGATCTCCTGATTCATCCATGGTTTATGGATTGGGAACATTCAGATTAACTTCTTCGGCACGCCATCCTCTACACACTTACTAATAAAGTCCGTAATGGCAGTAGCATACTCATTTAGGTTGAACATGGACTCGTCCACTGACTCTAAGTAGTCCCGTAGAAGGCCTTCCATTGCCTCAGACCAACATTGCACTACTTTCTGTACTGGGTCCACATGTTTCAATCTCTGCTTGTAAGCCTGGAGGAGGATCAGAACACCGATCTGATTTTCCAAAACAAAAGAGACGAGAGCAAGATGCAGTACTAATCGCGTGCGCCACGCTCCCCCCCAACCCCCCCACGCCCATTCCCTGAAATCAAGAAATCTAAATTCAGTCATGAGGAATGGACCCTTGGGGGAGATATCAGGCTGATCATTCAGCATTTGGAACTATGGTCCTTTTGTCTGCATGTTTACATCTTATTTTGAAACACTTGTATTTCCCTCAGCAGCTCTAGGCTGTTCTCCACATCATGAGGGGAAGAAAGGCGGTTGTTTACCAGGTCTTTTTTTGTTGCAAGATAAACAACAATTTGATTCTCCAATTATTTGATGGAAATATAGTTACCTGTACTTATATTTTAAATGGATTTAGAAATGATTTTCAACTCCTCTTTTATAGCCAAGTACGGCATCATCTTTTGCTATTGATTTTTTTTTAAGAAAGTTAACATTTAGGAAGACAGCAATATGGAAACGAATGTCCAAATTTCAAGTAAATAGCTAAATTATTTATACAATGAACTCACTGTCATTTAGCTTTAGTAAACAGAGCCCGTTACTGAAACAAAAGCTACAGATTCATGGAGTAAATCTTCACCCACCACTAGTGTGGGCTGAGATCTGAACTAAAAATGAGGAAATGGCCTGATCAGTCAGTATCTAAAACAGGATCTTTCGCAAAACATGAACATGTCTTTCACTTTCAGATGGTGGCCAAATTACTTTTGGTTTTTCCTGTGTTGAGGGGTGGCAGCTGATACAAATACTTCAAAATAATTTGAGTGATTTTGTTTTTTACAAGTGTTTGCTTTATTTTGTCTTATTATATTTTCAAAACTTTTATCCATTTCTTGAATGATATGATTTCTCGGCAATCTCACAAAGGCCATGTCCAGTGAATTGATGTGAATTGATACTATTGACCCATTATGGAGGTTAGGATTAGAGGCAAGGCAAACAATAATCAATACCAGTCAGAATTGAGGGCATCCACTTAACACAGTGCAGCAAATAGACAGAAGATTAAGTAACCTGGTAAATATGTGGTGACATTGACACTAACCATGCTATTGCCAGCTGACACATGGACTCACTCTGGTTATAGGCTTGAATTTCATCTACATCTAATGTAATTTAAAACTGTTAGTTGATGGGAGGGATCCAAGGTATTTATTACAGAAATCAGTAATAATAAATAAATATTTCTCACTATATTTAAAACTAATAGGATGAGAAACCACCATAATGCAATAACAAAGACTGAGTTTTGACAAAATCAGTGCCTCTGGCTAGGGATGAAGGGGGAATCAATCTTGGCTTCAACGTTTCCTCACTTCTTCAAGAGCAAGCCTGTCTGTTCAAATATGCGCACATTGAACGTAACATTGCTTCTTTTTGCCCCTACCTCAAGAAAGGGGAGACATAAGACTGCATAGCTTTGAAAAGCATAGCCAACTGAGCAAATGGCACAAAGCACTTGACAGCTTTGCTGCAGTTGCAAACAAGAATATGCTGCCATTAGGCCTGAAGCCAGTGGATGTTAGCTGGAATGGGGCCACTTATGAGCATGATAAGTGGAATAGCTCATGCTTTCCCGTTTACATATGGTGGAATTTGACAGGGCTTAAAACTGAAAGAAAATGTTAAGTTACAGACTTTTCAGAGATTGTCCAGTTATGTTTTTCCAATCAAGCTGGCCACTGGAACAGAGGGAAAATATTAGTTAAGTCATCTGTTATGGCACAGTTTCTACAGACAGCTCGAAAAAGGCAAAGGCAAACAAATTGGGATTGATTGTCTGTCAATTTGCTTGTCGAGTGAAAAGTCTTTGAACCACGTAATATCTATTAATTCACACAGTTCTTGAAGCACACTTGACAGTTGCTATCTTCAATGGCTTTTCCCCCCACAAACCAGAAAACACAAATCTAAATAAGGTTTTTAAAAAAATGTTGCATTATAAGAACTATGTAAAGTACCTTAAACTAAGAAAATTGAATCTATTTTAATGTCACAAGGTGTCCAAAAATTTTGGCTTCTGTCAATTTAATGCAGTAACAAATGAGACAAGCACTGGTTTGTGGAATCAGATACTGGCATCTGGATATTTTTAAAGACAAAAAACACTGTTAGATCTTATTTTACAATATTCCACAATTGTACAAAATAATCCATCTTCATTCTTTTTAAAAATATCCCAAATGGAAATGATTTTGTGTCCATATAAATAGCATATGCCATCCTTAAGGCAGCTGGACATTTATGATACAGAACGGTTCATATTGAATGCATACCAAGATTTGTTCATTTCTTTCTGCTCTTGGAAATATTGTATAACAAAAAATGTACATAACTGAAGATTTTTTTTTTGGCAGGATTAAACTCAACAAAGAAAGATTTATACTCAACTTCAAGGTCTACGTATTTACATTTTTTTAAAATGGGAAACCTTGCTATGACCTAAGGTCCATGCATTAAGAGAACACTTTAGATTGAAAAGAAATGAGGTGAGGAAGGAAGCAGTTGACTCGAGTTTTTCTACATCTGAATTTTTAAAATTTGAAGATTCTACAAGAAGGGAAGAATGAAAGAGGACAAAAATACTGAAGGCCTGAAAAAGAATGACTCAGAGCAGAATATTACTATGATTATCCACTTCAATATGCTGACTATAGCAACAGCCAATTAACAATGTACATTTGCAGCTTAGAAGTTATAAGAAAGGAAAATATATTAGAACCAAGGAAGAGACTTAAGAGTCGAGGACACTACCTAAGAGACACAATTATGAATGGACTACACGAGGCTACTCTTGACTTATCCTCCAACTTGAGCTCAATACAATTTTAATGAGGAAATTTTTACACCTGGGTTGAAATTGCCAGTTTGTGGATTGTTGCCAGTGTCTGACCAATATTATTTCTTATCCTGGTTTCTTTTAAATAACTGAGCAGCAGCCCGACCACCTTGGAGAGAGTAATAATGAACTATAACTCATTTACCATTAGTAAATATATTAATTTAGTGAACAATAGACTTAATAAGTTACTAAAATAAAGCAAGAATAGGTTAGAAATTTGACATACTGCTCTAAAATTCAATGGCAAATACCTCTTGTTGCTAGCCACTTTTTATGCGCAACTTCAGCCACAGTCAGTTATTGTGCTATTCCACCACAGGTATTATGAAAGTTCGATCTTCACATGAAGACATCTTAACATTCATATTTTCAGCAGGGATCACTGCATGGTGACAGGAACTGACAATACTGAACAGTTTTTCTTTCCCATGGCAAATTTAGAAACTCAATTTAAGACTAGTTAAACACAAATTGGAAACAATACTTGTTAAAGTTCAAACAGTATTTTTTTCCTGTCTGGACCTTTCAGGAAATCTCAGATTTTATAAAACCCAAAGTCTCCAAATACACTCAAGCCGTCCACCCTGTCCTCCAGCTTCCAAAACAAAGGTACTGACTCAGGGTGAACAAAATCAGTTACCACTGAGCACTTTGACCAGTGCAACGAGAAGCTGAGAAAATGGACAGTAATTGAAAAGGAAGAGAATTTAAAAACAGGAAAATACTGAAAGCAAGTACTTTATGGTAAGCTCATTTAACTAATGAGCACACACTGGAAGATTCAATATTAAAATCCCAACAAGCTAAACTCTTGTGGGGTGTCAAAGATGTAGTGCAACCAAACTCAGCTTAGTAAGAGGACACATCAGCTAGGGTTCTTCCTTATAACCCTGGCTGGAAAGCAGGATGCAGACATTGCTTCAAAACTGATCTTGTTAAGAACATGATAAACAGGAGCAGGAATGGCCCCTCAGGCTTGCTCAGCCATTCAATATGTTCAAGATTGAGTGAAAAGGTGGAATTAAGATCACTGATCAATCATATCCCTTAAATCCTTTGACACTCAAATTTCTATCAATTACAATCTTGAACGCACTCAAAGTCTAAGCACCTACAACTCTCTGCAGTAGAGATGTCAAGTTTTAAAACTCTTAAAAGAGGAAACTTCACCTCATGTTAAGTCTTACATGGCTTAAGTTTTACGGATTCCAGGCTCTCGTAGTTCTGGGCTTCCCACCATTGGAAAACATGCTCCCACATGAAATTCTTAAGGGGCTTGAAAGGTTACATGTTTTTGATTAAATCACCTCTTATTCTTCTGAATTTGAACAGAGATTGGCCTAATTTACCTAATCTCTGCTCAAAGGATGACTGTCTCGCTTCAGGCATCAGTTCAGTGAATTTTTGTTACAGTCCATCTATCTTTGTATAAGGGGACCAAAGCTATACGTGATGGTGCAGGCATGATTTCACCGATATAAAAGGCCTTTTATAATTGCCGTATGACTTCCTTAGTCTTGCTCGCCAATCTTTTAGTAACACAAGCCAACATATTACTTGCCGTTCCCATTGCTTGCTGTATCTGTCCCTTAACATACTTTATGTAGATTCATAGCCTACACTCCCTCAACCATCTACAGGTACTTCAACAGTAACCTTCTCTTCAACATAAGGTCAGAAGTGGGAGTGTTTGCTGATGATTAAAACACATTCAGCACCAATCACAACTCCTCAGATACAAAAGCAGTCCACATCCGTATCCAGCAAGACCTGAACAACATCCAGGCCTGGGTTGATAAGTAACAAGTAACACACAAAGGCCAGACAATGAGAATCTCCAGCAAGAGGGAATCTAAATGTCTCACCTTGTTGTTCAATGGCAGCCTTCTTTGAATGCATTTATTATCATGATCGTTAGGGTTATCATTAACCAGAAACTGAATTGGACCAGCAATATAAATACTATGGGTCAAGTCAGCACTGGAAATTTTGTGCTCTGAAATTCACCTTCTGTCTCCTCAGTCATGTTACAGTCAACCTGTTATATTGCTAGTCATTCATTTACCAAAGCAGCAGTCAATCTATGTTCCACAACTGTTTTGTTGTTTCATTATTGATTCCAAATTCCAGACTGTTGTCCCCCCTTTATAATCAACTCCTCTAACTGGGGAAATTATTTTTCAAACAACCTTTTCAGACATGTGATGACATACCTCTCGATCAGGTGAGACTTGAACCCAGGCCTCCAGCCCACAGGACAGGATTTTGCCATTTCATACCAAGTCCCTCATCCTTACTAGGAGAAACCAGCTCTTTTTTCTTTAAAATAAACTCATATACTTGCCTAGATATTCAAACAACACACGCTTTAGATATTTCCTCATCAGCCTGTTCAGAAAGATTAATACACACCTCTGGAGTAGGTGGGACCCGAGCCCAGGTCTCCTGGTCCAGAGGTAAAGATACTACCATTGTACGACTCGTGCCCTTAAAACCAACCATTTTTTGTCATAAAGGGGCACAGCTTTCAAGGATAAATATTCAGCAAAACTTATATTTGTCGATAAAATCCAAAAGAACTGCAGATGCTGTAAATCAGGAACAAAAACAGAAGTTGCTGGAAAAGCTCAGCAGGTCTGGCAGCGTCTGTGAAGAAAAAAAATCAGAGTTAACGTTTCAGGTCTGGGGACCCTTCCTCAGATGTAGATAGTAGTGAGCTCGAGTATTCTTCTCTTGGTTCATTCTTAAAGGGACCATCATTTTACAATATTGTTATAATTACAAGGCATAAGTCAGGAGTGTAACGGAATACTATTCACTTAACCAGATGATACAACTTCAATAACACTTAAGAAGCTTGACACAATCCAAGACAAAGTAACCAGTTTGATTAGCACCCCACCACTATCTTGAGCATTCATAGAATCCCTATAATGTGGAAGTAGGCCATTTGGCTGAGCGAGTCCACATTGACCCTCCAAAGAATATCCCACCCAGACCCACTCCCCTACCCTACCCTACACTATCCCTGTAACCCCAAAGTTGCCATGGCTGATTCACCTAACCTATATATCCCTGGACACTCTGGGCAATATAGCAGGGCTAATCCATCTAATCTGTACATCTTTGGACCGTGGGAGGAAACTGGAGCACCCGGAGGAAACCCACACAGAAAGGGGAGAACATGCAAACTCCACACAGGCAGTCACCGGAGGGTGGAATCGAACCCGGGTCCCTGGCACTACGAGGGAGCAGTGCTAACCACTGAGCCACCCTGCCACCCTTGACCACCAATATATCGTAGCAGCAGTGTGTACAAGATGCACTCCAACAACTCACCAAGGCTGTTTTGACATCACCTTCCAAACCAATAACCTCTAGCAATGAAAAGGCTAATGGTAGCAAATACAGGAGAATGCCACCACATGCTAATTATCCTCCAAGCCATAGAGTGTCTTAACTCAGAACTATACCATGAAAAATCCTTCTGATTTCTGATTCCCAGTCTCTCACTGTTTGAAAGTTTTCTTTGCTGTTTGTCCTCTCCAAATGAATAACTTCATACCTTCCCATGTTATAGTGAATTTGCCATGTTCTGACTCACTCACCTAATCTCTATCTTCTTTCAGACTCTTTGCTTCATCCTCACAGTTTGCTTTCTTATCTAACCTTGCATTGGGAGCAAACACAGATGCTTTGCACTCAATCCCCTGATGATTTGGATTCTAGCAATTCTTTAACTGGTTATGCACAGTGATCATAAGAGAGAGAAAAGGAAACCCACTCTGGTTTTGTTTCCTCTGCAGTTCAGGTGATTGTTGTGTTGTGTACACACACAAAAGGTTTGTCTGTCAAATGATCTCTCTCCAACTGCCTAGGGATCCACTTAAGGTCATGATCAGCGTATCGTATTTGTAATTTGATTAGATGCTGCCTGGGAATCCCTTCTCAGCCAGGCTCCCCTTGTCCAAGTGGTTACATCTAATGTTCTCCCCTACCATGTGAAGTATCAAATGAACGTCTGGACTATATACTAATGGATTAGGGAATGTGGTTCATTCACAATCACGAGATAATTATTTTTGGTGGGCTTTTGTGAACAGACAAACTTCATTTAAATGGTGTTGGCACGTGGACATTACAGTGACATCACTGTGGATAGCCACCTTCGGCTGCAATCTCAAGTTGATGGAATACTGCTTTAGTTTATGTTCAAGAAAAGCAATTGGAGTCTCCAGCTGATCGATTCAAAAATAAGTGTTTGTTAGAAAGCAAGTTTTCATGGAACAAAGGTCCAATTTTTTGTCGGTTTGTTACAGCCTGCTAACTAGCAAAATTGCCTGTTTAGCCCTATTTTCCATCCTATAAACAACAAATGGAAGTACCCATTACCATCGCAACATTTCTATATAATACTCTTGTTTAAACTGTAGACAATTTCCAAAGCACTTCTTCAACTGCTTTTCATCATTAATCTAAACGATATGGATGTGAACATAGGAGGTATGGTAAGTAACTCTGCCGGTGACACCAAAATTGGAGGTGTGGTAGACAGTGAAAGTTATCTCAGAGTACAACGGGATCTTGATCAAATGGGCGAATGGGCTGAGGAGCAGCAGATGGAGTCTAATTTAGATACACGTGAGATGCTGCATTTTGGAAAAGTAAATCAGGGCAGGACTTATACACTTAACGGAAATGTCCTAGCAAATGTTGCTGAACAAAGAGACCTTGGAGTGGAGGTTCATAGTTCCTTGAAGGTGGAATCACAAGGAGACAGGGTAGTGAAGAAGGCATTTGGTTTGCTTGCCTTTAGTGGTCAGTGCATTGAATATAGGAGTTGGGAAGTCAGGTTGCGGCTGTACAGGACATTGGTTCAGTCACTTTTGGAATACTGCGTACAGTTCTGGTCTCCCTGCTATAGGAAGGATGATGTGAATTTTGAAAGCGTTCAGAAAAAGATTTAAAGGATGTTGCCAGGGTTGGAGGGTTTAAGCTATAGGGAGAGGCTGAATAGGCTGGGGCTATTTTCTCTGGAGCTTCAGAGGCTGAGGGGTGACCTTATAGGGGTTTATAAAATCATGAGGGGCATGGATAGGGTAAATAGATAAGGCTTTTCCCTGGGGTGGGGAAGTCCAGAACTAGAGGGCGTAGGTCTAAGGTGAGAGGGGAAGGATTTAGAAGGGACCTATGGGACAACTTTTTCACGCAGAGGGTGGTGTGTGTATGGAATGAGCTGCCAGAGGAGGTGGTGGAGGCTGGTACAATTACAACATTGTAAAGGTGTCTGAATGAGTAAATGAATAGGAAAGGTTTAGAGGGATATGGGCCAAATGCTGGCAAACGGGCCTAGATTTATCTAGTATATCTGGTTGGCATGGGCGAGTTGGACCGAAAGGTCTGTTTCCATGCTATACATCTCTATGACTCTGAGTTACACAGAAAAGATGAAAATCCATTTACCAAAGACTAAAACAATTTAACAACATACTTTTCAGGTGTACAGATTGTGTCAGACAGTGAAACAAGTGCTAGTTCATACCAGTAGGGCAATTTCTCTTTTATATTAGCATACCTCACTTTCCCAGTCAAGCTTGTATGAACGTGCTGCTGGAACTCTGTATATTTTGATGCCAAGTATGTAAAATCTGGTGGCTTGTCTTTATATCGGTTTCTTGGATGCATAGATTTGTTAAGGGCCATCCTAAAACAAGGGAAGAAAGATAGCACATTTTTTTGCAAGTATTATGAATAGATGAAGAGCTAATTTATCGTGAGGAAACTAGCTGCTGCCATTATAAACACGTATCATTAACTTGTAACCATTTGTTGGGATCATGAAAAACAACAATTCCTCTTGCCTCTGCTTCTGCCCAATTGCCTCTAACGTATGATAGCTCAGGGTTATTAGATACCAAGTAAACTAATGAAAAATATCACTGAAAGTCATACCGTTACCTCCTAAAACCAATCAGTAGGGAAAATTCCACATTCTTTTTCTCCGTATTATTTCTCAGTTACGCACATTTCCTTAATGCCTGAGACCACCTTAGTAACTCTAAGTTAAAACAACATATGGGGGTGTGGGTAGTAATCAGAGAGACTGGTGCATTTGGCATTAAAGCAATGGGCTTTATAGACATCTATTTTCCCTAACGTAAAACAAATTTTCGCATCAGAACTGCTAAATGAACCATTTTATCACCTCCAGTTCTAATCACAGGAACCATCTCAGATAGCTTAAGTCATAACTATTCTGCGCTGATAACTGTCAAAAGGTGTCCTCTTATCTTGGATGTGTCAATACCAATATAGGTAGAGTTTCAAGATCTGGGTAAGATGCAAGTAAATATCAATCAAGACCAACAAGTAAAAATCATTTCCCATATTAGCATTCCATTGCTGTTGAGATTTTGCAAATAGGCACTTCACCTTTCCTTCTCATTACACTTTTCCCACAATTTTCCTTCACTTTGAAGTTTCTCAATTACATTGCATGAATAGCAGGAATGTAGACCCTGACTTTGGATGAAAACAGAAGATGGCACTGAGAGTAAAGAATTTCTGGCAACCTTGGCGATAAATGGAATAGTTTTATTGAAAGATATCAAAAATGACAGTCAGTCACAATTAAAATGATGAAAATGCAACTGAACTTCCTTAATTTCCTTGCAAACGCTGCCACATAGACAATGAACATAAGTGAGAAATACAGAATATATGTTATGCTTTCATTTTCTGATGGTCTTCCAATTCCAAACTACCAATCTGAGACAAATGCAACAACTCAAAGACACAACTTCTGGTCTCTCACGTACAATATCACAAAACTTCAAGTTGAAGTTGTATTTTTTTCTATCAAACTCACATTTATGTCACAAATCGTTCACAATTCTTCCCTGCTCTTCCTTCAGTTTCAGAGAAAAACCTGTATTATCTGAGGATGCAAGGGTTAAGAAAATTTGGCACTATTAAAGTTTCTTTCATTTTGAAGGACAAGTAGAAGTAGAGGGTCAGAATAGGAATTCCAATGGGTAGGGCATGGCCAGCTAACACACGGCCAACAATGCTAAATAATCAAAATTTGAGTAAGTCAAGACGCCAGAATTCATGGAGGACACTCATCTCTGTTGGCCTGCAGAAGATTACAGAGAGTAAAGGTTTGGTGGGAGTTGAAAACAAGGATGGGAATTTTAAAATCATTGCTTTAGTAAGGCCAGAAGACAACACAGGTCAGCAAGCACATGCTTGATTAATGAACTGAACTTGAGGAAGATATTTAGGAGACAACACTGCACATTATGCTTCCTATTCTCCTATAACAGTGATATAGATCCCTAAAGTAGTTGTCCCTTAATCCAGACTTTACCAAGAACTCACAACAAACCCTTTGTAATATCATGTGCAATCCGCAAAACAAACGAGATCAAATTGCCGTGAAGAAAGGGAACGAACTGAGGGATTCTAAAATGGAGGACCTAACACGGGGAAAACTTAACATCTTAAATTACTTCAGATTTAAGATGAAGTATTTTAATTTAAAAACAATGGAAGTCTAACAATATCGTGAATAATTTTGAAATACATTTGACAGGGTCGGTATGACACTTTGTGGGTTAAACTTGCTGATTTCCCAGATTTTATGATTAAAACTAACAATGATGCTTGGCTAGCGCACTAATTCTAGTACTAGTTTATAACCGGGTTTCTCACACGTTTCCTAGAGTTTTACCCTCGCACTAAACAATTACCTCCAGAGTTTGAAAACATTGAAGAAAACTCACATGCCTCGGCAAAGGCACACAGAAACCCTTCAGCACGACCCGGAAGGACTTCCTTCTCCGGTCAACAAAACGCGAGTACTGCACATGCGTAATTTATTTGATGGCTTTACAGTGCAAAAGTTTGGAAATGTTATCTATGTAGATGTTGAACCAATGGATATAGCAGGCAACATTAGGGAAATGTCGAGTGACATTTATATTTTTGCTAAGTACGCAAAATTCCTCTCGATTTTTTTTCTGATTTTATCCTTTCTATGTCTTTTTTTTAAATTGTAATCTGTTTTAAGACAGGTCTCTGTTCCCTTTCGCCAGTCGAACCTGAACAGGTTGGGATAAAAACAAGCTATGCTCTTAAACAACTTATCATTGTAAGTACAAAATGAGATATTTAATTTTGTATAAATGTGGATCCTCATCAATGTACACGTGATTTCCACCCCACTTACCATGTTTGTGCATATAGTATGGCACTTTTTCTAATTTTAAACGTCTCAAATTTAATGATTAGCTACACCAAGTTGGAAAAAATACAGAAAAACAAGCCATTCTTCACAATTAATCCAAAGTTTTTTTTTCAAAAGGTCAGGAAGTTGAATCACCAGGGTGGCCCCTAACTGTAGTTATATACATTGGAAAGAGCATTAAGCAAGAAATATTTGGACTTTGTAACAAAAGCAAGGTAAAAATTTGGGGGAATTTTGCTGTTATAGACTGGACCAATCAAAATTGGCAAAGGTGGTCAGGAAGATGAGTTTGTAGAATACTTTTCTGGGGTTATTTTCCTAGATCAATGTCTTGTGGAATCAAATAAAGATAAACCTGTTTTAGACCTAGTACTGCGCAATGATCCAAGGTTAATTATTAACACCAACAGAAAAAGAATTGCTGAAAAAAATCATAATAAAAGTTTCATATCAAGCTTGAATGCTGACATACTCCCGTGCCAAACAAAAATCTTAAACTTAAAACCAATCACATCAGTCTGAGAAAAAACTGACTAGATTGATTGTGTAATTAGGCAAAGACATAATAATATAGAAATAGAAGAAACTTTTAAAGAAACAATTCTATATTGTCAACAAAAATGTATGTTAAGAAACAAAAACAAGAAGCATATATTCCAAGCTATGAAAGAAGTTAAGGACAGAGTCAGATTGAAAGTAGTTCATAGCATTGCACATTGTAGTCAACCTCAGAATAGAATGTCTTTTGGAAATCATGAAATGGCCATCAAAAAGTTGATAAAGAATAAAAAACAGAATGTAAGAGTAAACAGGCCTCGAATATAAAAACAGATTGGAATAGAGTTTTTAAAGTAGACAAAAGGGAGAAGAGTAGAAGGGGGAATGAGTAAAGAGAAGGCTTTGAACAATATTTTGTGACACAGTAACAGACATGGATTACGTATCAGACGATGAAGATAGCTAAGAGGCTAATAATAGGACAGCATGTAAGAATTAATACTAGCAGAGAAAAAGTGTTGGGAAAAACCGAAGGGCTGAAAATCCAACAAAACCCCAGGATCTACACCCTTGGACTCCAAAAGAAGTAAAGTGGATGTCTGGTTTGAGTTTCTGAAATTCTTTAAATTAATAGAGAATATTTACAATAGGACCTTAAACAAATAAGAATCTTTTTAACATTTGTCCACAAACAATACATTTGCTTTGCAAATTAACTCACCACTAAAAGTAAGGAATGTTAATCGCGACTACATTGTCCCATAAATACATTTTAGTTCTTTGAGATTATAAATTTGAATTAAAACGAGATAAGTCCCAAGTCACCACCTCTGATATTCAAATTTATACAACTATAATTTGTTGCATTTGAACCAAGATAAAATTCTGATACATACTTTTGTGTAATTGCTTATAATCTCATCTGAAATGTCTCACTTAGTCTTAATGCATTTTTATTATTTTATGTTACACTGCAACAGTTAATTAAGTATTTTTTTTAAAAATTATGAATTAACCTAGGATGGTGGACTGAAACGATCAAATTAGTATCTCAGAATCATACAGCACAGAAATAGACCCATCGGTCCAACCACCCCATGCCAACCGTAATCCCAAACTAAACTAGTCCTACCTGCCTTTCCTGGCCCATATCCCTCCAAACCTTTCCTATTCATATATCTATCCAAATGTCTTTTAAACATGGTAACTGTGCCTGCATCTGCCACTTCTTCAGGAAGCTCATTCCAGACACGAAGCACCCTTTACGTAAAAATTTTGCCCCTCATCTTTTTTAAATCTCTCTCCTCTCACCTTAAAAACATGCCCCCTCGTCTTGAAATCCCCATCCTAGGGAACAGACACCTACCTTTAACCCTATCTGTACCCCTCATGATTTTATAAACCTCTGTAAGATCCCCTCTCAACCTCCAATGATACAGTGAAAAAAAGTCCCAGCCTTACTTTATATCTCAACCCTACCATACCCAGCAACATCCTGGTAAATCTCTTCTGAACCCTCTCTAGCTTAATAATTTCCTTCCTATAACAGGGTGACCAGAACTGGACACAGTACTCCAGAAGAGGCCTCACCAATGTCCTGTACAACCTCAACATGATGTCCCAACTCCTATACTCAAAGGACTGAGCAATGAAGACAAGCGTGCTAAACGCCTTTTTAACCATCCTGTCTATTTATGACGCAAACTTCAAAGAACTTTGCACCTAAACTCTTGGGTCCGTCTGTTCGACAACACTGCCAAGGCCCTACTGTGAATTATATACATTCTGCCCCTGTTTGTTGTACGAAAATGCAATACCTCGCATTTATCTAAATTGAACTCCATCTGCCGTTTTTCAGCCCATTGACCCAATTGATAAAGATCCCTTTGTAATCTTAGAAAACCTTCTTCACTGTCTATTGTGCCACAAATTTTGTTGTAACTTTCTAACATTTGTCCTGCTCTTCTTCAAAAAGAAAATCTTGTTGTGTTACTTATAAGAAAACAGCTATTGTATGTCATCTGGTACTGTCAATGGTCCAAAAGGCCTCAGATATGCTTATTGATCAGTAACGTGTTAGCTGACTGCAATCAAGTTTGTATTTGGGCAGCTAGGTCACAGAAGAGAAAAGTTCTTACACAACTATGTTCCTGTGACTCATAGAAACATAAGAAAATAGGAGTAGTAGGCCATTCAGCCCTTCAAGTCTGCTCTACCTTTTATTTTGATCATGGCTGATCATCCACCTCAATAGCTTTACCCCGCTCCAACCTTTGATTCCTTTAGTCCCAAGCGCAAAATTCACCTCCTTGAAATCATACAATGTTTGGCCTCAACTCCTTTCTTTGGTAGCAAATTCCACAGGCTCACCACTCTCTGGATGAAAAAAATATTCTCGTAACTGGTTTACCCACTTCCTTAGACTGTGACCCTTGGTTCTGGACTCCCCTGCCACCGGTATCATCCTTGCTGCATCTACCCTGTATAGTTTGAATTTTTTTGGTTTTCTGTGAGATTCCACCATCCCCACCCTCATCTCACAATTCTTCTGAACGCCAGCTAATATAATTCCAGCTGATTCAACCTCTTCAACTAATTATCCTCATACACCAGCCCCACCAACGCTGGAATCCGTCTGATAAACATCCTCTGCACTCCCCCTATAGCAAGAATATTCTTCCTCAGATAAGGAGACCAAAACTGCACACACTATTCCAGCTGTGGTCTCACTAAAATCCTATATAATTGCAGCAAGACATCCCTGTTCCTGTACTCAAATCCTCTCACTACAAAGTCCAACTTTGCCTTCTTGACTGCCTACTGCACCTACATGTTTACCTTCAGCAATTAGTGTACAAGGATACGCAAGTCATGGTGCACATTTCCACTCTCAATTTATTGCCATTCAGATAATCATCTGCTTTCCTGTTTTTGCTCCCTAAATGGATAACTCACATTTATCCACATTATACTGCACTTGCCCACTCACTCATCTTGTCCAAACCACTCTAGATTCTCCTCACAGCTCATCCTCGCACCCGGCTTTGTGTCAACTGCAAATTTTGAGCTATTTCGTTTAGTTCCCTCATCTAAATCATTAATATGAATAGCTGGGTCCGAGCACTGATTCCTGTGATACCCCACTAGTCATTACCTGCCATGTATTCTTACTCGTTGCTTCCTGTCTACCAAACAGTTACCTACCCATTTCAATACACTACCTCCAGACCCATGCACTTTTGTTTTATATGCTAATCTCTTATGTCGGACTTTGTCAAAAGCCTTCTCAAAGTCCAAGTAAACCACATCCACTGGCTCCCCCTTATCAACTCTACCAGTTCCATCCTCAAAGAATTCCAGCAGATTTGTCAAGCATGATTTCCCTTTCTTAAATCCATGCTGACTCTGTCTGACCCTGCAACTGTTTTCTCAATGATCTGCTATTAAATCTTTTAGATGGACTCTAGCAGTTTTCCCCACTGCCAACATCAGGCTGACTAGTCTATAATTCCCAGTTTTATCTTTACCTCCCTTTTAAAATACAGGGATAAATATTAACTTCTGCCCAATCTGTAGGAACCTTTCAGAGTCTAGACAATATTGGAAGATGATCACCAATGCACTCCTATTTCTAGGACCATTTCCTTAAGTAGATTGGGAAGTTGATCATCAAGCCCTGGAGATTTATCGACCTCAGTCCCAACACTATTTCCCTAATGGTACTTATTTCCTCCCTCTCATTAAAATGTGTTCTTCAACATTTCTGGTATGTTATTTGCATTCTCCTTTATGAATACAAAATTAAAACATGTATCTAGTTGGTCAGCGATAACACAGTGTGGAGCTGGAGGAACACAGCAGGCCAGGCAGCATCAGAGGAGCAGGAAAGCTGATGTTTCGGGTCGGGACCCTTCTTCAGTTCATACTATCTCTTTAGTTGGTCAGCCACTTCTTTGTTCCCCATTATAAATTCACCCGTTTCTGACTGTAAGGAACTTACATTTGTCTTCACTAATCTTTTTCTGTTCACAAAACTATAGAAACTTTTACAACCAATTTTTATGTTCCCTGCAAACTTACTCCCATATTCCATTTTCCCTTTCTTAATCAATCCCTTTGTGCACCTTTGCTGAATTCTAAGCTACTCCCGCTCCTCAGGTCTGTTGTTTTTTTTTGAACAATTTGTTTGACTCTTCCTTGGATTGAATGCTATCCCTAATTTCTCTTGTAAACCAACATTTGGCCACCTTTCCTGTTTAGTTTTACACTAGACAGGAATATACAATTGTTGCAATTCACTCATGCACTCTTTGAATGTTTGCTATCATCTTTCCACTGTTATCTCTTTAAGTAACATTCCCCAATCAATCATTGCTAATTCAAGCGTCATACGATCATAATTTCCT